GCGCGCGCTTTGGTACGGGCGCGCGCGTTGGTCCGGCGGCGCGCGTTGGTCCGGGCGCGCGCGTTGGTCCGGGCGCGCGCGTTGGTCCGGGCGCGCGCGTTGGTCCGGGGGCGCGCGTTGGTCCGGGCGCGCGCGTTGGTCCGGGCGCGCGCGTTGGTCCGGGCGCGCGCGTTGGTCCGGGCGCGCGCGTTGGTCCGGCGGCGCGCGTTGGTCTGGGCGCGCGCGTTGATCCAGGGGCGCGCGTAGGTCCAGGGGCGCGCGTTGGTCCAGGGGCGCGTTGGTCCAGGCGCGCACGTTGGTCCAGGGGCGCGAGTTGGTCCAGGGGCGCGTGTTGGTCCAGGCGCGCGCATTGTTCCAGGCGCGCGCGTTGGACCAAGTCGCGCGCGTGGACAAAGGCGCGTGCGTGGACCAATTCGCTCTCTTGGACAAAGCGCGCACTTGGACCAATCACTCACCAATCAAAGTGCAGCCATAAAGATTGAACTGAGGGCTCATTCCTGATGTAACCTGGATACAGGGCAGACAGCCACACACACGGACACAGAGACACACACACAGACACACACACACGGACACACACACGGAGACACACACACACAAACACTCACGGACACACACACGGACACACACACGGACACACACACGGAGACACACACACACACACACACCCACACACACACACACACACACACACACACACACACGCACGCACGCAAGCACACACCGATTAAAATGGTTTCTCATCTCCTTCATCTCCTCCCTTGAATCATGAGTGTTAGTGACATGATAAAAGTGGTTTTTGAGACGTCTCAGAATCCATTCCTCCTTGTTCATCTCCTTCAATCCCTTCATCTCCATCTCTTCCCCTAAGTATTGAGTGTGAGCGTGAGTCGCCTTTGACTTGAACTCACACCTTCTTCCTCTGTGTGACCATTGACCCTCTGTTCGTCCCTTCTGCTCCCACGTCCCGCTATTTGTCCCTTACCTTCTTCCCACGAGTAAGTGTGAGTCGAACATGGGCGTTGTCCCTCATGCCGTTCGCAGCAAGGGTAGATACCAGCGCATGCACCACATGTTCCCGCGTTGGCACGTTTGCAAATGCCATAGCCTTGGAAGAGTCAAAGAGACTGTCGATTTCGTGGGGGGTGGGAGTGAGGGGGATACGCAGCAGAGTCATATCTTTTGTTTCAGGCTGGTAAAATAGAAGGCCATTCTAATAAAGAAAATTACATACTTGGGTTGGGTGGGCAGGGGGAGAGGCTGAGCACAGCACATGGGGAAGCAGTTGAAATAGCCTTGCAGTAAGGGTCCAGAGTTATACAGGATCTTTTTTTGAGTCGACTCTAAAGAAGCAGTTGACATAGCCTTGCAGCAAGAGTCCAGAGTTAAACAGAATCTTGTGATGGTCCAGATGCTCTTGCAGCAAGTCTGATGGAGCCCCAGGTTGGAACCATGTCTTTACGTGGCAGCGAAACTTTTGAGTTGACTCAAGAGTCATACACCCACTCTCTGGTCCAGATGCCTGTGCAGCTTGAATATGCGCCCATCATACACTCTTAGCCTTTTTCTACACGAGATTGGAGAGGAGGAAACGGAGAAAGAGAGCGTGCGAGGGGAAACAGCAGTGGACACTCTCTCACCGGTCGAGGTGCTCTTGCAGCTTGAATATGCGACCATCATACACCCTCAGCCCCTCCCACACGGCGTCTCCCCCCTGCACTGCAGAGTCCAGCACGTGAATCTGCCATCCGTGCAGAGGACAGGGCATACAGAGGACAGAGGTGTCAGAGAAAGGAGACTCTGATTAGATCAACTCAGACGTCACTCTCTCAGCGCCTCCCCTCCCACACACACGGCATCCCCTCCCTGCACGGCAGAGTCTAGCACATGCACCTGCCATCCGTTTACAGGGGAGGTTGGATAAGCAGCAGGCGACAACTGTTAGCCGGCTCAAAAGCCACTCCCTCAGCGCCACCCCTCCCACCCGGCGTCCCCTCCCTGCACAGCAGAGTCTAGCACGTGGAAGCGCCATGCCTCCATACAACAGGGCAACAAGCAGACAGAGCAGACAGCATAAGGAGACTAGGTCAACTTTTGAGACGCCTCATAAGTAGAGCAGACAACATAAGGAGACTAGGACAACTTTTGAGACGCCTCATAAGTAGAGCAGACAACATAAGGAGACTAGGTCAACTTTTGAGACGCCTCATAAGTAGAGCAGACAACATAAGGAGACTAGGTCAACTTTTGAGACGCCTCATAAGTAGAGCAGACAACATAAGGAGACTAGGTCAACTTTTGAGACGCCTCATAAGTAGAGCAGACAACATAAGGAGACTAGGTCAACTCCGAGTCAACTAAAAAGTCAGACTCTCAGCCCCTCCCCTCGCTCACCGCATCCCCTCCCTGCACCTCCCTGCACCTCCCTGCACCTCCCTGCACCTCCCTGCACCTCCCTGCATCTCCCTGCACCTCCCTGCACCTCCCTGCACCTCCCTGCACCTCCCTGCACCTCATCTATGGTACAGACGCAGTGCAACCCTACCTTGACGTCTACCAGCCCCTCCTCCCCCACCCACCCACACCAGCAGCCTCTTGTTGGCCGGCACAGGGAGAGGCGGCGAGGGGAGAGGCGATGCACTTGTAGCCCATATGCCCCTTACCTTATTCACTCTACATGCATCATAGCACAGGAATCTACCTTGGCGTCCCGCCTCGGCACCAGCCCCTCCTCCCCCACCCACACCAGCAGCTGCTGGTTTGCCGGCACAGGGAGAGAGGGCGAGGGGAGAGGGCCCTTGCAACCCATATGGTTACGATGTAGCTCAACCAACCTACCTTGGCGTCTCGTCTGGTTACCAGCCCCTCCTCCCCCACCCACACCAGCAGCTTCTCGTTAGCCGGCACAGGGAGAGGCGGCGAGGGGAGGGGTGAGGCGGAGATAGAGGGGGAGATGGTGGTGGGAGTGGTGGTGGAGGAGTTGGCAGTGGTGGTGAGCGGTACGAGGGCTTTGGAGAGGAGCAAGGAGTAGAACGGCCGACAGTCCTCCAGGAGAGAATAGTGGGCCATTGGGAAGGGCTGAGAGGAGGGGGTAGGGAGAGGACAGAGAGCGGGAACACAAACGGAAGTGGGAACAGAATGGTATGAGTGGGTGCAGTGTGGTGTGGGCATCTTAGGCTATAGAGCAGGAGGGGCAAAGCCAGTGGGATTGAATTGACTCAGGAAACACCATAAAAGCATGATTGTAAATTGAAGTAACGTGACATGCACTGAAGTGAAGTTTAGGTCACCTTGGGGTAAAGAGCAGGGGGAGCGAAACCAGTGGAGGCATGTGGGGTGGTATACCACCACCACGGAGCCCACTCCTTGTTCTTCTATTTTTGAGACATCTCAAAAGTCGTCTACTTACATGAGGTGGTATACCACCACCACGGAGCCCACTCCTTGTTCTTCTATGACCGAGGAGAAGAATTGCATGAGTGAAGAGCAGCGTAGGTCACCTTGGGGTAGAGAGCAGGAGGGGCGAAACCAGTGGAGGCATACGCGGTGGTATACCACCAAGGCGCCCACAACTTCGTTCCTCTGTGAGACTATCAGAATTCGCAGAACCACCCAGGTGAAGAAATTTGTAGGTCACCTTAGGGTAGAGAGCAGGGGGAGCGAAACCAGTGGAGGCGTGTGTGGTGGTATAGCACCATGGAGCCCACACTCCGTCCTCTGGCCGTTTCCCTGCAGGCCAGCTAGGGAAGGAAGCACAGAGAGAGGGAAGTGATGGCATGACGAGTGGTGTGTTTACCGTGCAGTGTGGTGGTGGTATACGACCATGGGGCCCACACCCTGTACTCGGGGCGTTTCCCTGCAGGCCAGCTAGGGAAGGAAGCACAGAGAGAGGGAAGTGATGGCATGACGAGTGGTGTGTTTACCGTGCAGTGTGGTGGTGGTATACGACCATGGGGCGCACACCCTGTACTCGGGGCGTTTCCCTGCAGGCCAGCTAGGGAAGGAAGCACAGAGAGAGGGAAGTGATGGCATGACGAGTGGTGTGTTTACCGTGCAGTGTGGTGGTGGTATACGACCATGGGGCGCACACCCTGTACTCGGGGCGTTTCCCTGCAGGCCAGCTAGGGAAGGAAGCACAGAGAGAGGGAAGTGATGGCATGACGAGTGGTGTGTTTACCGTGCAGTGTGGTGGTGGTATACGACCATGGGGCCCACACCCTGTACTCGGGGCGTTTCCCTGCAGGCCAGCTAGGGAAGGAAGCACAGAGAGAGGGAAGTGATGGCATGACGAGTGGTGTGTTTACCGTGCAGTGTGGTGGTGGTATACGACCATGGGGCCCACACCCTGTACTCGGGGCGTTTCCCTGCAGGCCAGCTAGGGAAGGAAGCACAGAGAGAGGGAAGTGATGGCATGACGAGTGGTGTGTTTACCGTGCAGTGTGGTGGTGGTATACGACCATGGGGCCCACACCCTGTACTCGGGGCGTTTCCCTGCAGGCCAGCTAGGGAAGGAAGCACAGAGAGAGAGAATAGGGAACGACCATGGACATACGTGGTGCATTAGTGTATCGCCATAGGGTGTGCTGGTGGTACAGTGGTGGTATACCACCAGGAAGCCCACACCCCATCCTCTGGGCGCTTGCCTGCAGGCCAGCTGAGGAAGGCAGCACAGAGAGAGAGGGAAGTGCATTGCTCTGCCACCAAGTAGTGTGACGGTGGCATGAGTGGTGGTATACCACCAAGGCGCCCACACCCTGTCCTCTGGGCGTTTCCCTGCAGGCCAGCTAGGGAAGGAAGGAAGGGGAGTGGTGGGGATGGGGTTATACGGAGCACAATAACATAACACCCATTCATACTTACCTAAGAGATGCTGGTAGAGAAATTGACCAGAATGCCTAAGAGAATGCCTAAGAGACTGCCTAAGAGACTGCCTAAGAGACTGCCTAAGAGACTGCCTAAGAGACTGCCTAAGAGACTGCCTGAGAGATTGCAGTACAAACTTACGAGAGCATTTCCGGATAGAAGGGGATGTCTAGCGCTTGGCAGAGCGCCCTGAGAACGCCCTGTTCATCAATTGGGGGAGGAGGGGGTGGAGGGGGGGGTGGGGAGGGAGGATGCAGGGAGCAGGGAGGCAAAAGGGTGAAGACAGCATGTGCAGGTCCGGAAGGAGCTCGAAAGCATGGGATGTCTAGCGCTTGGCAGAGAGCCATGAGAACGCCCTGTTGATTGTGGTGGGGCATGCAGGCGGAAGGGAGGGGGGGGAGAGAGTGGACACAACATGTGCAGGTCCGGAAGGAGCTCGAAAGCAAGGGATGTCTAGCGCTTGGCAGAGAGCCATGAGAACGCCCTGTTGATTGAACTCTACCTGTGAGTGGGATTGCAGTCTCTACCTGTGAGTGGGATTGCAGTCTCTACCTGTGAGTGGGATTGCAGTCTCTACCTGTGGGTCAGCTCGAAGCCTAGAGGCATCCGTCCACCAGGGGCGGATTAGATGGCGAGGAGGTGGGGGAGAGCCGTCTCAGAGAGAGAAGGGGGGGATGCCTTGCAGTCAACCTGGGATTTGGAGTGCAGCCTAGTGGCGTCCACCTCAGGTGGGGGTCGGCCCATGTGGGAGAGCGAGGGGTGGATGGTGAGTGAGGAGGTCGAGGAGAGCCGTCTCAGAGAGAGGAGGAGGGGAGATCTCTGATAGGAATGATAGCAATGGTGTCTATCTGTGCAATTGCAGGGTACCTGGGGGTTGGACTGCAATCGTGTAGCGTCCACCACGGGTGGGGGTCGGCCCATGTGAGAGAGCGCAGAGTGGATGGCGAGGAGGTGGGGGAGAGCCGTCTCAGAGAGAGAAGGGGGGGAGACCTCTCCGAAAGAGGGCTGGCGGGGGGGTGGGGAACGGGGAGAGGGGAGGGGCAGAAAGGAGAACGACATGCAGCACCTGTTACCAAGGAACATAGGAAGCAACAGTAATAGGAGGTGGGGAAGAGCTGTCTCGGAGAGGGATGGGGGAGAGACCTCACCAAAAGAGGGCAGGCAAGGCAAGGGGGTGGAGTTGGGGGAAAGGAAGAAAGGAGAGAAATGCAGTGATGGTGAAGGTAGGAGGTAGGTAGCATAGGAAAGCAACAGCGTCAACGAGAATGGAGAAAAGAAATGAGAGTTGGAAAGTGCGCCTCAGCTGTGCGCCTCACAATGAGTAGCATGGGGCCGCGGATGAGAACGACATGCTTCCTTAGGCACCTCACAAAATGTCTTTTGAGAGCCTCACAAAGACTTTTGAGGTGCCTATACAATAGAGCGCGCGCCTCACAATCAGCAGCATGCGGCCACGGATGAGAACGACATGCTTTAAGGTGCCTCAGGTCCCGTCTTTCGACGCGCCTTAAAATGAGTGGGTGAGTAAGTGAGTGCAAGAGTGAGTGCGCGCCTCACAATGAGCAGCATAGGATCGCGGATGAGAATGACATGCCGCCCGCGTGACAGTAGCGAAGCCTGAAGCTCCTCTCGGCACTGCTTTGCCATGTGCTGCCAGCGGGGAGGAAAGAGGAGTGAACGAGAAGCATGGGTGACATGCGTGCATGGTAGACTGAGAGCGAATGACAACAGTGAAGCCTGGAGCTTCTTCTTGCACTGCTTTGCCATGCGTGCTGACAGCAGAGTGGGGAGGTGTGAGTGGGCGGGGGAGTAAACGAGAAGCGTGGTTGACACACATGCTGGTACACTGAGAGCGAATGACAACAGTGAAGCCTGGAGCCATTCGCGGCACTGCTTTGCCATGTGCTGATAACATAGTGGGGAGTAATTTCATGGTAGAGAACGTGTGATGAAACATTGATACGCACAGAGGGCGAAGGAGGACATTGAACTACTTGGGAAAAAGGATATTCAGTAAAACACACCTTAACAAAACGAAGAGGTTTGGATCTTTGAGGGCCGTACACCACTTCGTCAACCACCCTCTTGCCGTTAGAATCCTGCCACGGGGCGAGGAGTGGGAGCAGATGCAAGAAGCAAACTCTGGGCGCGGGCCTAATGAAGAGGCTTGGAGCCTCGAGGGCCGTACACAATTGATCAACCACCCTCTTGCCATTAGAATCCTGCCACGTGGCGAGGAGTGGGAGCAGATGCAAGAAGCAAACACAGGTGATCACAGCCTTGCATCAATGCATCTGCTGGCGTGGGCCCATTTGTTCATGGGTGCTTTTAATATTTTCCAAAAACACCCTCCAGCTGCAGGGCGCATTCAACCGGTTGGAGAAGCACAGTTGTAACCCTATGTATGTTTGAGGCGCTTCCAGGTTAAGCGCAGCCGTTTCTGCCTGTACAGCCGTACAGCCCCCTTCTTCTCTCACCATGCTATCCAGTACTAGGTGCCTGTACGGCCGGGGAGCACCCGTGACTACCAGAGTTGCCTTTCACGCTCTATCTGTTGCCATGTGATATCCAGCCACTGTCGCACCATGCTCCATGCTCTCCCATTTTCCTCTCATCTCACCATGCTATCCAGCACCAGGTGCCTGTACGGCCGGGGAGCACGAGACAGTGGTTTCCAAGATGATGATTTGTAACATGCTATCCGTACCGCAAAGCACACACTCGTATCTCACCATGCCGTACCGCACAGCACCATCTCACCATGCTATCCAGCACCAGCTGCCTGTATGGCCGGGGAGCACCGGTGACTGTCAGGAAGTCGGCATAGAGAGGCTCGTCCACCACAACCGTGTCTGGGCGCTGCAGGAAGTGGAGGAACGGAAGGGGGAAAGGATTGGGAGGTGTGAGCGAGGAAGTCGTATCCTAAAGTGACTCCCAGGATACGGAGGCTCGTCCAGCACCTCTGTGCCGGGCGCTGCAGGAAGAGGAAGGTTAGGGGGGTGATTGGGGGGCAAATGGAAGGGTCACGAAGTTCATAAACTCGGCATATTAAAACCCGTCCACCACCTCCGTGTCTGGGCACTGGGTTGTTTTTGAGACGTCTCAAAAACAACCTCGCTGCACGTGGCATATTAAGGCTCGTCCACCACCTCCGTGTCTGGGCGCTGGGTGAGGGAAAGGGGGAGAGGATTGGAGAGGTGTGAGCACGCTATCTGGTTTGGGACTGTCGTGGGTTGGTAGAGGGACGGCGCGAGAGTGCTGGCGGCTGAGAAGTTTTAAACGTGCGTAAGACCGCCATAGTATGGCTTAAAGTAATCCTAAACCGAGATCAGCCATGCAGAGAGAAGAGTCGGATCAATTCGTGCCTGAGCGAAGGAGTACATGAGGCTTGTGCTGAGTGACCGCGGTCCCCGTTACAAGGTGCAAACGTGCTTACACTATAACGATACATACACCCGGCGGACTACTAGACTACGATCAGCCGTGCCTGAGCGAAGGAGTACATGAGGCTTGTGCTGAGCGACCGCGGTCCCGACCAGAGGTTGATCACCCAATCCGCGTCCGACACGTCACAAGGCGACGCCATCTGCGGCGCGCCAGCGTGTTCCGGGAGCGTTTCCGATGTCATTCGGGCTGTAATTCGGTTCGCGTTCGACGAGCGCAATATAATTTAAATCCCGTAGCGCTCCGAACGTCGTAGCAGGCCCGTTCTTTGCGGTAGTTACTTAGTGTCAAGTCTTATAGCAGCCAGATTCTTGGGACGTTGGGAAATTGGTCTCAAAATTTCCTCTCTATCTAATGGTAATTCAGTTCACCAGTTTCACGGAATGCGAAGATGCGACTTCTGAGGCATCTCGAAATTCGTTAGGTGCGTTCGCGACCATTAGTAACAAAGGGACCTTGTCGTGCCAGCTCTTTTTTTGAACGAACTGAGTCTCGCGAAGGCAGGAATTTTGCTGTCAGCGTCAATCGATAGACTCCTTTTGCCTATAACGAGGGAGCGTTCGAACAATAACCATCTTTACACTGACCACCTGAAAAGTGTAGTTGTGACGGCTTTGCCGAACTTGCCTATCACAGTCGCAGAGATTCTTGTGCATCGTTTCTCGGTGCTTTGCGAAAGCTCAGCAAGCACCGTCGATCTGACACCAGCCAACAGATTCTTGCCACATCTGCAGGTGAAAGTTCTCGAGACGCCCATTGTGACATTCCCGAACCGCACTTCAGCCCAATGTGGAATTCGCGAGGCCAATTTGCCTGATTCCAGTAACTTCTAGGTTTGATTTGAAAGAGTGCCAACCTCCATTTTACAACTTTCTGGCAGCTTCTGCAAGCTCCAGTCATTCCATCCAGCACGAACGCTTTCGACTCCCTTTTTTCCCAATTCCTACATATAAGGGTGGACTGGCAATTATGGTTTCATCAAATCAAAACAGCGATTAAGCTCTCAACTCTCTCTCACCAGTCACGCTCTCGCGCCTCTCAAGACTCAGCAATTATTAGCTCTCTGAAACTTTCTGGACTTGACTCAGCCAAGGATTCTCTCCGCTCTTTGTTCCTATCATCACAGTACCTGAACGTTTCCTCACATCTCAGTCATGGCGAAAGGCGAAGGCCCTGCGATTGGCATCGACCTCGGCACCACCTACAGCTGCGTGGGCGTGTGGCAGCACGATCGCGTTGAGATCATCGCCAACGACCAAGGCAACCGCACCACCCCGTCCTACGTGGCATTTACGGACACGGAGCGCCTGATTGGCGACGCGGCGAAGAACCAAGTGTCCATGAATCCCGTCAACACCGTTTTCGGTATGTCCCCATGCTAAATCATCCACCGTTTCCGACACTCCGCTTCCTCTACCCCTACGTCCGCACTGAATCATAGCATACCTTGAATGTGCCTGAAACACGCTCATTCGTCATGTCTGCTGATTTATCACTTGTTTCTCTTCACTCGTCTCGCTTACAGATGCGAAGCGTCTCATCGGAAGGCGGTTCTCCGACGCGCCCGTGCAGAACGACATCAAGCTGTGGCCGTTCAAGGTGATCGCAGGCGCGGGAGAGAAGCCGATGATCCAAGTCGAGTACAAGGGCGAGACCAAGCAGTTCGCCGCAGAGGAGATCTCGTCCATGGTGTTGACGAAAATGAAGGAGATCGCAGAGGCATACCTCGGGACTACCGTGAAGAACGCGGTGGTGACGGTTCCGGCGTATTTCAATGATTCGCAGCGCCAAGCGACGAAAGATGCGGGTGTGATCGCTGGGCTGAACGTGATGCGGATTATCAACGAGCCTACTGCAGCTGCTATCGCCTACGGGCTCGATAAGAAGAACAGCAGCTCGTCGGAAAAGAACGTGCTAATCTTCGACCTCGGCGGAGGTACTTTCGACGTGTCGCTTCTTTCGATCGAGGACGGCATTTTCGAGGTGAAGGCGACGGCTGGCGACACGCATTTGGGTGGCGAAGATTTTGACAACCGCATGGTGCACCACTTCGTCCAGGAATTCAAGCGGAAGTACAAGAAGGACCTGAGTAACAACCCGCGGTCTCTTCGCCGCCTTCGCACGGCCTGCGAGCGCGCCAAGCGAACCCTCTCCTCTACCGCGCAAACCACCATCGAGATCGACTCGCTCTACGAGGGAATCGACTTCTACACCACCATCACCCGCGCGCGCTTCGAGGAACTCAACATGGACATGTTCCGCAAGTGCATGGATCCAGTGGAAAAGTGCCTCAAGGACGCGAAAATGTCCAAGGCGCAGATCCACGACGTGGTGCTCGTCGGCGGGTCTACGCGCATCCCCAAGATGCAGCAGCTACTGCAGGAGTATTTCAACGGGAAGGAGCTCTGCAAGAGCATCAACCCCGACGAGGCCGTGGCTTACGGCGCGGCGGTTCAGGCGGCGATTCTGAGCGGCGAGGGGAACGAGAAGGTGCAGGATCTGCTGCTGCTCGACGTGACGCCGCTGTCGCTTGGATTGGAGACGGCCGGAGGGGTGATGACGGTGCTGATTCCGAGGAACACCACGATTCCGACGAAGAAGGAGCAGGTGTTTTCGACGTTTTCGGATAACCAGCCGGGCGTGCTTATCCAGGTGTACGAAGGCGAACGCGCTCGGACTAAGGATAACAACCTGCTCGGGAAATTCGAGCTCTCGGGCATTCCGCCGGCGCCACGTGGCGTGCCGCAGATCACCGTGACGTTCGACATTGACGCGAATGGCATTCTGAACGTGAGCGCGGAGGACAAGACTACTGGGCAGAAGAATAAGATAACGATTACGAATGACAAGGGGCGACTGAGCAAGGAGGAAATCGAGCGGATGGTGGAGGAAGCAGAGAAGTACAAGGACGATGACGAGCAGCACAAGAAGCGGGTTGAGGCGAAAAACGCGCTCGATAATTACTCGTACGGCATGCGTAACACCGTTCGCGACGACAAGATGGGGGGGAAGCTGTCGCCCGAAGATAAGAAGGCGATCGAGAAGGCAGTGGACGAGACGATTGATTGGCTGGATAAGAACCAGCTCGCCGACGTGGACGAATTTGAGGATAAGCAAAAGGAGCTCGAAGGGATTTGTAACCCGATCATCGCGAAAATGTACCAGGCAGGAGCTGGACCCGTGCCAGGGGCGGGAGGGATGGGGGACGTGCCAATGGGAGGTGGTTTTTCCAGCGAAGGGGACGGGCCGAAGATTGAGGAGGTTGACTGAGATGAGAAAAGGTGGAGACTCAATCTGAGCATGCCACACCCTTCAGTTGAATATTAGTGCTTCAAATATTTTTAAAATGTTAAATGTGTTTTTGCAATATGTCCTAGTAATATTAAATATTCCAGAGGTATACAGGAGTACATTGGCATGGCTCAAACCGTGAACTTGCATCTAGTCAACCATTGGCGTTTCTATTACTCCACAGAAGTGTCCCTGCACAAACAAAAAGGATGGTAGTCAGTGCTTACGTTCAAGAGGTGCCTAGGTTCGCTCCCACCCTTCTCCACACTCACCAATGCACACCTTCACGTCCCCTGTGTGGTGCTACTCACATTTGTGCAAACAGCGAAGCAAATTGGCTTAAAAGAGCTTCTGCTGACCTGTTCCAATGCATTCCAAACCTGCATGTGCAATTCACAATCAGAAGTATGAGGCAGAGAGATGTGCCGATGGAGTGTCTAGCACCACTGCTATTTGAATCCATCCCTGCTAGTTGAATCCAGCCCTGCTAGTTGAAGCCATTTAGCACTGGTAATTGAATTAATGATCAATGGGAGTGCTACTCACCTTGCAATAGCAAAATGGACATTCCTCCTCTGTACCCTAAGGACATAAGGAGAGCTCGTGATAAAGCCTGCAAAATTGATGGGATATGATAGCTCATGGGCGGTTCAGAGCACAAGCTTGCTCCATCAGCATTCGATTAGTGTCAGAATGACAAGAAGGGAGAGAGAGCGAGCGAGGGAGGTCCGAAAAAATGGGGCAGTAGTTTGTACCTGGTGGGTGTAAGGCAGAAATGTGGGATGGCAAACGGGAAGGAGAAGAATAGAAAGACAAGCAAGGCGGCGACAGAGAGGGAGTGAGGGAGGTGCAAGGAAGTGACAGCGTGCTGACTAAGCACCTGGTGCGTGTGAAACCAGAAATGTAACCCTGGCAGACCGAAACATCCCAAACACTGACTGAGGTCTTGAGCAGAGAAAACGACACTCCTGCCACCTCCTCAGCTCGAGAAGAGTCATCAGCAGAGAGGAAACGGCCAACCTGCCTGTAACCGCCAGCTGGAATGCCAGAGGCAGCACAAACACTCAACCGGTTTGGCCGAAAGAGCTGTTTTACGTCGAGCCTAACAGAACGACGAGGGACTTCGTCTAGCTTGCCGATCAGCCTTAGAACCTGCCAGTCTTGGTTATGAAATGCCATTACTTCCTTCACCGCTGCCCGCCCTTCTGCCCGCAAAAACCATGCGTTACCAGTAGCAGGCACCCCTGCAGCCAGATTTAGCTTGTGTGCAGGTTCCATCTTGCCATTCTCCATGATTCCTTCTTTACACTTAGCTGCTGCTTTTGCCGCTGCTGTTTCTCCTGCTGCTGCTGCTGCTGCTGCTGCTGTTTCTGCTGTTTCTGCTGCTGCTGATTCTGCTGCTTCTGCTGCTGCTGTTTCTGCTGCTTCTGCTGCTGCTGTTTCTGCTGTTTCTGCTGCTTCTTCTGCAGCTGCAGCTGCTGTTTCCTCTGCTGCTGTGACCAGCTCTTGAAGCGTATTTACACTCCCTAGAGAATGTCTTGGAGTTGCGGGTCTCAGGTTCGCTCCAACTCCTGCTGCTTTGAGCGCCCTTGCGTGAATTCGTGCTCGCCTGAACGCTGCTGCCGCTGCTTCTGCTGCCACTGCTTCTGCTGCTGCTGCTTCTGCTGCTGCTACTGCCGCCACTTCTGCTTCTGCTGCCTCTGCTGCTGCTGCTTCTCTGCTTTGCATGAACCTATGAGCAACGCGCCGCCCTTCCTTGACAGCCTTATTAGCAGCACGAAAAGCAGACCGGCCCCCTTCCCATGCAGCATAGAAAGCACAGCGAGACCCCACGACCCCCAGGTACAGTGGGAGCACGAGAGCAAAGAGCGCTCCAGATGCAACCTTTGTCACAGCACGGTAACTCCCTCTTTTAGCCGCCTTAAAAGCACGTCCCACCTTGGTAACTACACGCTTGCACATACTTGACAAGAGCATGCGGTGTTCCATGTCAGCAGCAGCACCGGGTGCACCTTGAGTTTCACCTCGAGTTTCATCTCCGGTGACATTGTCTGGCGGCAGGGGGAGCCGTGTACTGAACATGGGCCTAAGACACAGATCCATGATGTCTGGAGTGCGCAGGCTGAAGGGCACCTCGAGAATACCGGGAGCGTAACTGAGAAGCCGAGGAGAAACCGCCTCAACGGGACCAACCAGTGTGTCACTGACCACAACACAGTTCAGCGGGTATTTCTTTCTACAGTAACCGCACAGATCAGAAAAGCAGCACCGGCGGTCCTCATCCGCATCATAGGATCGCTCATCTTGAGGGTTCTGAAATACTGGTTTCAATTGATAGAGTCTGAGTTCATGGTGTGCTTTTATGCGGTTGTGACAGTAGAGAGGCCAGAGGTGGGAAGTTGATATCTGGTGCAGGTGCTTGCACGTGAGGGCTAGGTTGGCGATGGTGATTCGAAGCTGCCAGCATGTCATACTCGCTATAGACACAAGGATTTCGGGACTCAGATCCAGCAAATTGGTCAGCCGCTCTTCGTTAGCAGCCGTGTTCGTCATTCTAGCACCCTTGGAAAACCGTATTACTTCAGGACTGTACAGAAGCAAGTCTCCTTGCAGTTTTGCGCGATCTTGGTCAGAGATGAAGTATAAATCGCCCAAAACCGCACATCACAAGCTAAAATTGGACTAAAAAAGGAGTTACTTTCAGAATCAATCGGAAATACTCAAACTACGTCACAGACTTGGGTCTTACTGCGATGGATTGGTCTACAGCCTAGTTGACAGTTCCGACTGTAGCTGGGGTAGACTCGTCAGCCTTATAGAATGCTTGGACTGTAGCTTAGACTGCACGAATGATTCGCGTAAAAATTATCTATAGCGTTGGAGTGGTAACCGCTAGACTGTACCTGGACTGCACAAATCATGCTAGGTAACCTTTTTCGTCAGCTCAAAAGTCACTCTGTAACCTGGACTGTACACCCGCGTAGCAACCAGCGATTAACTCTGGAATAGCGGGGGACGGACTGTTTGAGAGTGGATTCATCTTTAAAAGGAGTCCGAATGGGCTGTATAAAGATGACGGGTGACAGGGGTATAACTGTCTGAGGTTAACTAACTGTCAGACGCCATTAAACAAACGCCATTAAACACTGTATCCGGCTTTGAGAAAACTGGTGTTTGATGAACGGGTAGTGAGCCTGGAATCAGTATCTGGATTTTGCCTATCGCGATCATGCCTTAGAATGGTTCGCTGCGATTTTCTAGTTCGAAAACGTCTAGGTCTACGACAGTTTAGAGACCTTCTGGCTCCAGCAAAACCAAATATATAATGTTGCAGTTCCGAGAGACTCTCGCTGATATCTATGAAAGCATTCAGCAGATCGACAGGACCCATCGACCTTCGCTGACCTAATCGTTGTGAAGCAGAGGCGAAGCAGTAGTACTTGAGTTTAGCTAGTTTTCCAGGGAAGCTGGTCTTCCGGAACGGAATTGACTGGGGGGGACGGACTGGAAATACTCGCTATAGGCGCAATCAGAATCAGCTCGTCAAAAGTGTAGATTGATTACAAAGGTAACGCGAGCCATACCAGCTGCCACCCTCCACCAATTTATACCACTCTTAGGAAGGATACCAGGAAAGATGTTTCCAGTCGTGGAAAAAATAATGGAATACATTACAGAGCTTGCTTCCATGTTGGTGTACTGTTCATGCCTGGCCTGGTTATTTCATCCCCTTGCGGGTAGTACCTACCTCCTTTTGAGGACTTTGGGGCATCGCAAACGAATTTGCTGACGGTTCAAACAGCATGGTTTACCACTATACACATTCAGACGCAATCAGCAACCTACTCTAGTACTGGCAAATCCTCTACATTCTAACACTAGAATTGAAGCTACAGCACACCACATTCTAAGAACCCATGAACTTTCTCAACCCCGCAGAGGCATCAGTCCCATCATATGTACAGCACACTTCTGAACCAACTTCGCACACTATTCCTCAGCAATTCCTCCCTACCCACTTTGCACATTATTCCTCAGACTGCCTTAGACCCATCATCCTCGCAGCAAGACTCTGTTCCAAAGACAGGCTCTGCATATTCCTTTTCTGCAGTCCGTGTTCCTGGTGAGCAGACCACACAAGCCGGGATGTCCCGGCACTTGCACGAATCAACACTCACGCTTGCAGGCTCGCCTGGGGACACGCCATAGCCGGATAGCGACGCCGGATTGGATGAGAGATTCGGCGCATGGATAGCACAGGTGCACTGATGATGATGCTGCTGATTCTGTGTTGCAATAATGGCCTTTGCTTCCTCCATGGTTGGACTGTTACGGGAAAAAAAAAAAAGGATGGTTCACTATGAGACGTATATTATTGGTAAGAAAACGACACATCTGCTTGTTGCTGGAGGGATTTGACAGGATGTTAACGTACAGGAAGTGGATACTCCAAGAGATGTATTTATTACTCAGTGAGCGCAGCGCGAGAGGTGCATGATGCGCGCCAGCTCGTCCGAATTGAATGAAAAAACGGCGGGGGAACAAAGGGCTTACCTTTGACTGGAACAATGACGGCGGAAAACACGACGAATAACGAATCACGGCGGTGACCTGAAGTTGAACGAATCGCGGTCGTAAGTTGAACTGCGCGGTCGTAACTTGAACTACATACACGAAGCGTGTCGCTGAATTATCGTGCTACGTACTACTTATTCGAGTACCTTGACCAACTAAGATTCTTGATTGTCTTCAAGGCGTCCGAAAGCTCATCTTTGTCATAGTGACCCAGCGAACAGCCAAATGCCAAGCCAACTTCAGTACAAGGAGGCACATTGCACGCAATCTCAAACCACTGAGTTGAGGGGGATGTGGTGGTGGTTTCTGCGTGGAACGCAACGCTGACGTGTGACTGAGGATGCTGGATGAAGCTTGAGATGACGATGGAATGGATGCCACCTTCTTCAGCAGACGTGGCTTTCACAAATCATGAGTCACCACTCATACTCTTTAAACACCTCTTCGGGATTACTGATGCTAGGTGGAAAGCGACGAGGTACGTAACGTTTCTGTGATACCATATTCCGTTAGAGCAGCCGTTGGTCTTTGGTTCAGCGGTTTGACAACAGTTCCACTTCCGTTCCAGCCAATATGAGCTGGCGGTTTTGCCTGTCGCATTGAAACCAAACGGGCTTCATGCTGGCACATTTTGTCTGCCCCTGCACTTGCAAGTGCTCTGTTTCTCCAAACCGAGTCAACGAGCAGTGCTACACATGATGCCCGGTTGAGCCCCCCGACCTCGGCCTTCCCTAAAAGCCTGTAAGTGATTCATGCATTTCGTGGAGGTTTCGTCAGTTCGCATCGGGCAAAAAGGGCTTATAAAGAAAATTTGTAACTCACCGTTGACTCTTTGACTGCAGTCTTATGAGTCAGACTTTCGTTCCTGGCTTTCCTATTGGTCGACGTGCTTGTACCGTAGGTGCAACTTCGCGGCAGGAAACCCACGGGCGCAATTTCGCGTGCAGGGGTTGGGCATCAGTTGTACGCTAGCTGGTCAAATGAACAAGAGATTCGTCGTTGAGGGTTTCGGGTTTGCGATTGTTGTACAGTGCACGTATGGAACTTCAAATGTTCACAATCCAGTGATATCAGGGCTTGCAGATGAAGGAAAGCTGAAACAAGGAGTGACATCAGTACACAAAGTCACCCGACTAGGACTTCGAAACCTGGTCGAAACTCCAACTCAATGCTGAGAGCTGGGTTCAGCAGAAACGGAATCACCGACTCGGCTCAGCTCCACCGTCAGAGGCGCAGCACTTCACTTGAACTGACCTGACACCTGAACGGTGATGCACCCAGATTCTCTGAAACTTGAGGTCATTTGAATCGGCCCAAGATGTTGATTGCAGCGCCAATCATATCATTGGGCATTCTTGTGCGGTAGCCCGGCCCAGGCACAAGTGTCTTGGGAGGTACAGGATGGTATGAAACCGTTTTCCATTGGCATGGGCAAAACGAACTGATTAGCCTTGCCAACCATGGCTGAGCTCAAACCGTCTCTCAAACCTCCACAAACTGTACCAAGCTTGATCGCCAGACCACTGGGTTCAGTCGAATACAGTACGCACCTGTTGCAGTGGTCCGGCAGCTTTGGTCTAGCTAGTCTACTCCAGTGTTTCGTAGCTGCGTGCCCTCGTTCCCCTATGTTCGGAAACTTGAGGTCATTTGAATCGGCCCAAGATGTTGATTGCAGCGCCAATCATATCATTGGGCATTCTTGTGCGGTAGCCCGGCCCAGGCACAAGTGTCTTGGGAGGTACAGGATGGTATGAAACCGTTTTCCATTGGCATGGGCAAAACGAACTGATTAGCCTTGCCAACCATGGCTGAGCTCAAACCGTCTCTCAAACCTCCACAAACTGTACCAAGCTTGATCGCCAGACCACTGGGTTCAGTCGAATACAGTACGCACCTGTTGCAGTGGTCCGGCAGCTTTGGTCTAGCTAGTCTACTCCAGTGTTTCGTAGCTGCGTGCCCTCGTTCCCCTATGTTCGGAAATTCGACGAACGAGTCAACGGCAGCAACTGCTGCAGGATTTGTTTTGATCTTGCTGTTGTGCCAACCTCCACTCTGCAGCGCCGCAACTTCTCTGCCATCGCTCCTCATGCCAGCCAGTTGCCCCACCCACCCTCAAAACTCACATATCTGAGCTGAATGTTAGTTGATGTGGGGCAAGAAACGCTTCGGTTGAGCACCTTCTTGTGTAGGTCGACTGTCATCATCTTCTGTGCCCTCAGCTTCTTCGGGTTTCCGATTGCCTAAGGCGCTTGCTTTTGTGCATTTCCACCTCATTCGAACCTTTGTTACACGGAGTTCATTGAGCGTTTTTTATAATTCACGCATCCTAGCGTCATCTTGCACGCAGCACAGACAGCTTTCTCTCGCGATTAAAGATTGTTGAGAAACAGCATGGGTCCAAGGCATCAAATCACGCAACCTTCATCCGCACAGCCAAAGCCGCGGTCCTTCATTCAAGCTGACTCCCCAGCAGCGTTCCGCTCGTATACAGAATCTGCGGATCCTATGACCTCTTCTGACACATCTACCCGTTCGTCTGATTACTCCCCAATGGGTTTCTCGTCTCGTCGCAACACGCTGGACGTGCTGAGTCGACGGGCCATGTCGGGACCGATCGAGAGATCTCCGCCGTGCATCCCTTTCTCTTTCTCCCGCAGCAACGGTCTTCCCAGCCCGCTGGAGCCTTCCGCGTCGCTTCCGGCATCATTCCGCACAACGAGCGCACATCCTGCAGCAGCGATCCCCCCCGCGACTGCGTCGCGCGATACCTGCGCTGATTCTGTTGCGCATGCGACTGTCAGTCATCGTCCAGCGACTCAGCGGAGCGGTCCTATTTCGCAGCCGTTTAACGAAGCCCACAGATCGCTATACCGCAGATCGCCAGTCGCGGTTTCAAGCCCTATCGACGGCGATTTTGACCAATCCCGTAAATCCATGTCAGGTCCCATCAAACCCTCAGCATCAGCGTCGATTTCGCGATCCTTTCTCCCTGCCGATTCCACTCAATCTGGGCCCATAAGTTTCTCTTCGCATCTTGCCAACTCGAGGAACGGATTCCGACCGTCCGGATATTCTGACACGGCATCGTATGCTTCGGAGCAGCCATTGGGCCGTTCACAAGGACGGCGTGTCCGTTTCGCTGACGAAGAGCTGCCAGAGGAGGTCAGAGCTGATGGAAACGGAAACCGGGGGATTGATACAAGAAAGCAATTTCGTTTGAGTCATGCTTCTCCTCGCACAACGTTTTCCGGGCAGCACCTAAATGTAAATATTCCGAGAAGGTGGTCCAGTATAAGCCAGTCAACAGCCGCCGCTGCTCTCCCCCCTCCTCCTCTTTCTGCCGTGGGAGCTCTTTAACTCCTCCTGCCATAGTCACCTGATGTATTCTTGGAGGACAACAGATAGGGAACCTATCGCTACATATCTGAGGCCTATTTTTGGGGAAGTGCTATTTCTGGATACGTAAATATATAGGTGAATATAATGTTCGTAATTTTTTATGAAACAGTCAGTGAAGCTTATAGCGAGAAACTACGTTCTGGAAGGGTCGCTTGCCTGTTTGCTTTACCTCGCGTCTTTCGTGTCAGTGAAACTTTTTTTCGCGTTTACATGGCTTGCCACGCCATCGCCTTACAACCGTCAGATCACATCGTCAGGAAGCTTCACGAAATATCTGTCGGTAGAAATCTCGCTCTTAACCTAGGCGCAAAATCGTCGGCCGTGGGATCTTCGCGAAGCTTGATATATTTCACGGAGTACATTCCAGTATGATGCGGTTCGTGCTCCGCGTTTCGAGAATGTTCCGCGCTTCGCAATATTGTCCTCGAGCTAATCAGCCAGATCTATTGGTTTTAGTATAAAAAGCATCACTCACCATTCCACTCGACAACTAACAATCGCTCAACGCGCTCTTCCAAAGCTCTCATATCGTGCTATTGAACACCTAGTGAATTCCCGTGCGATCACGTCAGAAAGCTAGTTCTACATAATGGCAGTGACGGAGGTTGTTAATGCCACCGCTGCGACTGGCGCTCCGATGGATGTGCCAGCTTCAACCCAAGCAGTCAACGCAAAGGCCGCGGCAGCTGAAGACAAGGAAACCTTTGCCTTTCAGGCGGAAATCAACCAGGTTAGTGAAAACGCCCGATAACCTGACGCATGCGAAACTTTTGATGCGTTTTTCCACGAGTTACCGTTTTCTCTTTACCAGTGGCTGAGTCCCTAGCTTCATTATTGATAAAGAGTTTTTTTCTTCACGAATCTCAACTCATTTATTTCTTTCCACTACCTCCCATACCTGTGCGTGCAGCTGTTGAGTCTCATCATCAACACATTCTACAGCAACAAGGAGATCTTCCTTCGCGAGCTCATCAGCAACTCCTCCGACGCGCTCGACAAGATCCGATTCGCCTCTCTAACCGACAAATCCGCGCTCGAGTCGCAGCCGGAACTGTTCATCCGCATCGTGCCGGACAAGGCAAAGAAGACCCTCAGCATCATCGACAGCGGCGTCGGGATGACGAAAGCGGATTTGGTGAATAACCTCGGGACGATCGCGCGCTCCGGGACGAAGGAGTTTATGGAAGCGTTGGAGTCCGGCAGTGGCGACGTCAGCATGATTGGGCAGTTCGGCGTGGGTTTCTACGCGGCGTATCTGGTTGCGGATAAGGTGGTAGTAACCAGCAAGCACAACGACGACGAGCAGTACGTTTGGGAGTCGCACGCTGGCGGGTCGTTCACGATTCGTCGCGACACGGTCGGAGAGAGGCTGGGACGCGGCACGAAGATCACGCTGCATTTAAAGGACGACCAGCAGGAGTATTTGGAGGAGCGACGGATTAAAGACGTAGTTAAGAGGCACTCGGAGTTTATTAACTACCCCATCAACCTGTGGACGGTGAAAACCGTGAACAGGGAGATCGAGGAGGACGAGGAGGAAGAGGAGGAGGGACCTCACGGAGCTTCTAAGGAAGAAGAAGCAGAGGGAAATATGGAGGAGGTTGAGGACGAGGAGGGGAGCAGCAAGGGCGACAAGAACAAGAAGACGAAAAAGACGAAGAAGGTGAAGGAAGTGACGCACGAATGGCAGCAGCTGAACAAGCAAAAGCCGATTTGGCTGCGCAACCCTGATGAGGTCACTAAGGAGGAATACGCCGCGTTTTACAAGAGCTTCACAAACGACTGGGAGGAGCATCTGGCCGTGAAGCACTTCTCCGTGGAGGGTCAGCTGGAGTTTAAAGCCCTGCTCTTCGTGCCGAAGCGCGCGCCGTTCGACCTGTTTGAAGGGCGGCAGAAGAAGCTGCGAAACGTGAAGCTGTACGTGCGGCGCGTGTTCATCTCGGATGATTGCGAAGAGCTCATGCCGGAATACCTCTCCTTTGTGAAAGGCGTGGTTGACTCGGAAGACCTGCCTCTCAATGTCTCGCGGGAGATGCTCCAGCAGAACAAGATTCTCAAAGTCATCCGGAAGAACCTCGTTAAGAAGTGCCTCGAGATGTTCACAGAGATCGCGGAGAACAAGGACGACTACAGTAAGTTCTACGAGGCATTCAGCAAGAGCATCAAGCTGGGAGTGTACGAGGACTCTCAGAACCGCGCGAAACTCTCAGAGCTTCTCCGATTCCACTCCACCAAATCGGGCGACGAAGCCACCAGTCTAAAGGACTACGTTACCCGGATGAAAGAGGGGCAGAGCAGCATCTACTACATCACGGGCGAGAGCAGGCGAGCCGTGGAGAACTCTCCGTTCCTGGAGAAGCTGAAGAAGAGGGCCCTGGAGGTGCTGTTCATGGTGGATCCAATCGATGAGTATGTGGTGCAGCAGCTCAAGGAGTTTGATGGAAAGAAGCTGGTCTCGGCCACCAAGGAAGGGTAAGTGCACCACTCACCTCCTTTCCCATCCTTGCGCTTTCATTCTGTACCTTTCTGCTTCTCTCTGCACCTTTGGTCCATCCGTCCTTGATCCTTTGCCTCTCAAAGCTCTCGTTCTCTGAGACGCTGGTATGCTCTGGTGTGTGTACTTTGGGTGGTCTGTCTCTGAATTTTTCCTGACTTTCACTTCGTATCCTGTGCGTGCAGGTTGAAGCTGGATGAGCCCGAAGAGGAGAAGAAGAGATTCGAGGAGCTGAAGAAGGAATTCACCGACACATGCAAGGCAATGAAAGACATGCTGGGGGACAAGGTCGAGAAGGTAACTGTAGGCGAGCGCATCGTGGAGTCCCCCTGCGTTTTGGTCACAGGGGAGTACGGCTGGACCGCCAACATGGAACGCATCATGCGAGCCCAGGCTTTAAGGGACAACTCCATGTCTCAGTACATGACCAGCCGGAAAACCATGGAGATTAACCCTCATAACAGCGTTATCAAGGAGCTCAGGAGGCGGATCGAGGCGGATAAAACCGACAAGACTGTCCGAGACTTGGTGTTCCTGCTGTTTGAGACTGCTCTGCTGACCTCGGGATTCTCTCTGGATGAGCCTCAGGCGCTGGCGGGACGGGTGCATAGGATGATTAGCCTTGGACTAAGCATTGATGAGAATTTGGAGGAGGTTGGGGAGGAGGAGGCAGGAGAGATGGATGGGGAGAGCAAGATGGAGGAGGTGGATTAGGCTTGGAGAATACAGAAGCATGCGTGGTGTGGAAGAGTGGATGATTACGGTTCATAAGGGACAATACGGTAGTTGACTGCTGGATTACTTATGTCCATGGGATGGAGCAGCTGGGATAGTGGTGATTGGTGGGGACTCTGGGTGATATAGTTGGAGATTGCTTGCTTTGGGGTTTGCGGGAGGGTGTGTGTGTGGCAATGTGCTACTGTGTACAAATGGGTGTGTGTATGTGTATCAGTGATAAGTGAATGGCCAGCTTTCTATATGTGAGACTTGCACACTACATCCTGTACAGCTTCAGCAACTAAGTTCTGAATAATCATGGAGAAACTTAAGAAAGTGCAAGTACATCAAGTTCAAATCATCTAACTCAGACCAAAATATTTACCACAACATACAGTAACGATATACAAAGTCGCATCAGCATGATTACCAATGTAGTCTACATATCAGCCTTCTGCTGCTTCCATAGATGAAGCCTGACTTGAGCTGTGCATAAGACGGTTCCAAGGCTGGAAGAAATGGCCTAAGGTACTGTTTGAAAAAGAACCCCTGCCCACACAAGGGTACTTGTGCGAGACTTGTGCGTGTGTGTTCAGAAGAAAGGAGGGAGCATGATCCACCGCCGAGGGTACTTGGGGCGACCCTCCTTGCCATCAAAGAGCTGAAGGTTTCAGGTTGAAGCGAAGAAGGGAAGGTTGAGGGGAACACAACACACACAAGGGAGCGCTTGATGAGCAGAGAAATTCTAAGAGGCTGGAGTAAGGAGGAAACATGATGTACATAGCATAGCCTAAGTCTCAAGAAGCTATTTGCCAGCGCTGCAACTGGTGCTGACTTGGAAGGTGATGGCTGCATGTCAGTGACATAAAGAGGTTGGCTTCACTCTGACCAACGGGTGACACCCGCGGCAGATTCAGGACAAAGCATTGAATTGTCAAAGCATCATCCATGCAGCCCTTAGTAAGTCCACCAGCCAGTTTCCCCATCTTAAGCAACCAAGCCGCTCATACGAGCATGGATGGCATTTGGTCGTCGAGAGTTCATATAAAGCATAGACACCCTTCAAACCATGGAAAGACTGAGTACATATAGGACAGGGCAGAGTTCCCCGGCCAAATGCCACCAATGAATGTGTTTTAACAACGAGAACGATAGAAACAAGAATCACCTCAAAAAAGGCACCTGCAATGAAGCCAGGGAAGAGCTCTCCATGCAGACAATGACGAGATCAAACCAAGCTCTTAATCTATGTTCCCCCAAAAAACTGCATGTCAGGGACATTGATAGGATGGCTTCACTCTGACCAACAGGTGGTACCCGTGACAGACTCAGGACAAAGCATTGCATTGTCTGACATCATCCATGCAACCCCGAGGGGGGCCCCAGTCAACTTTCCCCCTTCGACTTCCAAACATCACCTCAGACGGCGTCTTAGAAGATGGCAGGAAAAAACAAAGCATCCAGAGAAACAGAAACGTAGGCAAAGCTCCCAGTCTATTGCCCTCCCTTAAGGAACTGCATGTCAGTGACATTAAGATGGCTTCACTCTGACCAACAGGTGGTACCCGTGGCAGATTCAGGACAAAGCATTGCATTGTCAAAGCATCATCCATGCAGCCTTGAAAGGGTCATCTACCGGTCCCCCCCTCCCCCCTCAACAAGTTAGCCCACTAGAGAGAGCATGCACGTCGAATACAGGAGCAGATACCTCACCTCAGAAGGTGTCTACGAAAAGAAGAAGCAGACAGACAAAAAGAACAGTAATCAAAGCTCCCACAAAAGGACTGCATGTCAGGGACATTAATATGATGGCTTCACTCTGACCAACAGGTGTTACCCGTGGCAGACTCAGGACAAAGCATTGCATTGTCTGACATCATTCATACAGTCTATCCCTGGGTTGTGCCTGCCCAATCTCTTCCCTAGACCCGTAAATGCATCAAGCCCTTTCCGTTTCCTGCCCAGTCTCGAATCGCAACCCGTGAGTGCATGAAGCCGATCCGGTTACTGAGAGTCCGTAGGTCAACGAAAAGCGAGTAAAGGAGGCGACTGTGCTACAGCTGCTCACTCCATCTGGTGAAGGAAGAGCGGTACAGTGCTACATCCCCACCATGCAACACTGGGGCAGAGAGCATCTTCATTTAGAATCTGCTTTTTGAGAATTCTAAAAAAAAGCGGAACTGGTGAAGGAAGAGCGGAACTGTGCTACATCCCCACCATGCAATAACGCGGTAAAGAGCGACTTCATAAAGTGCATGTCAGCGACAACATATGTGATGACTTTCACCCAACCAGGAAAAAACTCCAGAGCGACGGTTCAGGACAAAGCATTGCGTTTGTCTGCCATCATCCACACGCACTCGTCTGTGCCGTTAGCCTGTTTCGGCTTAGCTTAGCCGATAGAAGGGTGTGTCTGCTATGGCTTGATTATAAGCAACGCAGTTAGTCGAAAACGGGTGGATGCGGAACTGCAGGAAAAGGGAGCGAAGGACCTTAGTCATGCTCTCCCACTCTCTCCCTCCGCCCCCCATCCTGCGCTACGAGGTCGAAGAGGGCGAGGATGAAAGGGTACGGGCCTTCAAGAGGAGCTTGACAGCAGGCTTGATGATATTGGGGATACGAGAACACCGTTTCACTGCATGAGGATTCCTACCTTCCTGTGGCATTCAAGCCAAGCGCGGCCTTAAGAGGCCAGATGAGCATTCGCTTGGCGTGCGCGTGCTTGGCAAAGGCCTTAAACCCCAAACCCTGATGTCGACTCAGCATTGTGATTGCTTATGACAAGGAGAAAACGACGCGGAGAGGCGGAACGGCAGTGGGAAAGATGGAGGGAAAGTTTGGTGGGGAGAATCATGGATAGAGAGAGAGAGATGTCTGCCCTCACCTTGACGAGGCGCTGGTGCTCGGCGAGGTCTCCCACAGGCATCTGCATGGTTCCTTCTGAGACGCCTCAAAAGTCAGCCCGGTGGGGTGACTTTCGAGTTGACTCAAACTCAAGTGTCTGCTCTCACCTTGACGAGGCGCTTGTGCTTGGCGAGCGCCCACTCGGCCATCTGCATAGCGCCGGCGAGGCGACGACTGAGATAAATCGAAAACAGATCTCTGCTCTCACCTTGACGAGGCGCTTGTGCTTGGCGAGCGCCCACTCGGCCATCTGCATAGCGCCGGCGAGGCGACGACTGAGATAAATCGAAAACAGATCTCTGCTCTCACCTTGACGAGGCGCTTATGCTTGGCGAGCGCCCACTCGGCCATCTGCATAGCGCCGGCGAGGCGACGACTGAGATAAATCGAAAACAGATCTCTGCTCTCACCTTGACGAGGCGCTTATGCTTGGCGAGCGCCCACTCGGCCATCTGCATGGCGCCGGCGAGCATGAAGAGGTAGCCGGCGACGGACTGCGTGGCGATGTTGAATCCCAGCCACGCCGTGATCTCCGTCGTGTAGTTGGCGCACGTGATGAAGTTGAACAGGAAGCCCGACGGAATCTGGTACCCCGAGCTCGAGCCGGACCTGCAGGGCGGGGAGATGTACCAGAGTTACAAACTGTTCCTGAGGCGCCTTCATCATTGCAATTACCGCACGTGATGAAGTTGAACAGAAAGCCCGAGGGGATCTGGTACCCCGAGCTCGAGCCACACCTGCAGGGCGGAGAAATGCAAGAGAGTTACGAAGGGGGGAGGGAGGGGAAGGGGATAATCATGCTGTTTCTCGGTGAAAACGACTCTACGCAGATAATGCTTGACGGTACAGCGGAATACGGTTTGTACGACTCATGCTACACTATAATAATGGTGTAACATGTAGTCCATGTGAGGTTCAGAGCGAGCCGAAAAGACTGAGCCTCGCAGAATTGATCCCCGCACGCTGTGCCGATTTACTCCGAAGTACCCACCTTAGGTTCCTCAAAATGATGTGACAGTAGAGGTTGGAGAGCTGGTTGACTATAGCAATGCCGAATCCGATCATCATCTGGGTCTCGCTGACTGGGGTGTACAGCGGGTGGTTCACGAAGAACGATACGAAAGCTGCGAAGGTCCAGTAGTAACCGCAGTTACGGAACAGGTTCTGAAGCGGCATCGTGCCGTGGCTGAAACGGTGGACGAAGAACGTCTCGAGGATGCGCTTCGTGTAGTGGAATGACCAGTAGATGAGTGCGTAGGTCTGGACATCTTTAAGCTTCTGCAGGAAGACATGGCGGTAAGTAAAAAGAATGGAGAATGTCAGGAGAACAGCACGAAATGAGCGCTACTGTGAAATCAGAGAGGCTCGGGAAATTAAGGTGATCTAAGCGCGGGAGGATCAGGAAGCTTGAAAAGCAGAACCCAGGAATTAGTAATACGAGGAGGCGCTTACCCTCTTGGCACCGTCCACATAGAACACTTGCGGGAAGAAGTAGAAGAGCGAGTAGAGGACCAGAGGACCGAAGTACTCCCAGAAGAAGACCGTCTTAAAGCCGATCTGAGGGCCGAGATCCTTAAAGACGACGTCCAATGTGGTTCCTGTAGAGTACTCCGCGAGTCGCTTTTTGGCGTCCAGAACGACGGGTTTGGCTCCTGACGCTGGCGCTGGGAGAGTGAATCTCTGCCTTGCAGGGTACCATTTTTTATCTGCATGAAGAGGTAACCCCGAAGATAAAGGTTAGAATGGATTGTTATAAGGGGTACGGCTTGTCATGGTCTGTAAACTCCAAATGCTGCGACTTACTCGTTTTGTGAAGGGCTTTTTGGAGATCTGCTACGGAGGCCTGCACAGAGACGACACGGATAGTAACTAGTTAAGCTTATACGGCATTTACACGACTGGAGAAAGGGATCGAGAGAGTGTTTGTGAGGATCAGAAGGCCTGTGAAAAGCCACGCAAACAGATGCTTGAGTAAGCGTAGAATGCAATGGGGAAGGTACCTCATCGGGAAGTTGGAGGCCGCCTTTGACGATCTCTTTTCCAGATCGCGAAAAGACGTTGACCTTCATGCTGAGGGGGTGCCGATCTACCGTATCCAAAATGATACGAAAGTAGACCCTTCTCGCACTCCTCAGAGTACGGCAACGAATTGCGTGGAAACTAAAAAAGGGAGGACACGCCTAGGGACAGGAAGGACAATGGCTGGAACTAGAATATTGTCTGACGAGTTTCATTTGGCGTAGTTGTGAGTAGAGGGAGTCGGAGAGGGAGTTCAGAACAAGATGAGAGAGGATAGCGAGGATTCGAACGAGATCGAGAGTGGTTAAGAAGGATATATCGGGATGGCGAGGGAGTTCTGGTCTTGGTTGGATGTCGAGTCGAGCTGGTGTGAGATGTGGTTTCTGGCAGGTTCGGCTCGGCTTTCTCGAGGTGAGATCTTCGCCCTGGGTTTCCGAGATTGGAAGCTGGCGCTTTTGGCGCCAAAATGGGCTGACAGGAATTGATTCGATTGTGACAATTGGTGCGAAGGGTCACGCCGAACACAATTCTAAAAAATACACAGCTTTTCATTTCAGTATGTGTGCAATTCTGTTATATTAATTATTCCCAAGCAGGGTGATCCTCAGTTGAGTTTCTAGGGGGGCTTGGCTTCCAGTTTGGCACTTCATCCCAGAAGAAGTTGTAGTAAATATGGCCTGAAATTAAATCAACGCAAGATAATATGCAAACACATGAACCAAAACGTCGTGAGAAACCCTTCGTTATACATGATTGCAAGCAACTCCATATGCCGTTATCAAATCTTACCTGGATGAGCATGCACGCAGCACCAGATGCCTGTATAATGTCGCAATCTCCATCTAAATTTCTTCTCAAGCTCCTGCACGGATAAAATGCAGGGGAGAGAAGATATAATGGTGCGAGCTGCTTTAATGTCATGCTCTCATCCACTCCTGCAGGATCATTAAGTCCATCTCATCACAACGCTCTTCCCAAAGCCTCTCTTCCCCCCCAACCCCCCCCCTCCCCCCCCCCTTCCCTTCACTCCCCCCACCGAGTCCCCGCCCCCTGCCAATCTACCAGCACTCACTCTATCGTCCCATCCACGAAACACATCGTGCAAACTGCTTTCACATCTGAAAACTGCGATAATGCCTCCTTTCACTGGAACTCATATAGCCCGTCCCATCCCAATGCTTGCCCACCTCTGCCCCACGTCCTTCCACCAGCACTCACCTTGTCATCCCACCCGCCAAACACATCGTGCAGAAAACTGAACTCGATCCACTTCACATCAGAAAACCGAGATAATGCTTCCCGCAACTGGAACTCAAGAAAGGAGGGATCAGGAGGCCACGGGCACAGGAACAGGTAACGGAAGAGAAACGAGAATGATACCGGCATGATACAGCAAGGAGAAGGGAAGGAGCACAGACCATGAAGGCAACAGGCTGCTGTAAGAGCAGCAGGGGCTTGTTAGAGTAAAAGGTACCAAAAAACACAGTGACATATTTTGTGTGCAATGTCGCATCTAGCAGTACAGCGCACCTGCTTCTCTCGTACGCCTTTCCTGAGCACCAGATCGAGTGTGTGAGCTCTGGGAAGATCCTGAGCGTCCGTTTCTACGGGGCAATCGGGAGCAGTGTCGTTGCAGATACGCACAGAGAGCTTGGAGGCTCGGAGCTAGGGGGGACAGGAAGCGAGGGGGAAGGGTGAGGGGGGAGAAGGGCAGACAGTTTCAGCGGGACAGTCATGAGGGAATTCAGGAGGGCAATCAGGAGCAGTGTCGTTGCAGATACGCACAGAGAGCTTGGAGGCTCGAAGCTGGGGGACAGGAAGCGAGGGGGGGAGGGGTGGAGGAGAGGGTGGAGAAGAGGGCGGAGGGTGGGCAGGCACTCAATAAAGTAGAGTGCCATTACACAGCTTACCTCTTTCAGGACATGAGGGTTGTCAAGGAAAGAGTACTCCAAAAAGATAAGTGAAATTTGAATCTACCCAACATTCCGACACTATACAGCTCACCTCCTTTGGGACACGAGGGTTGTCAAGAAAAGAATATTCCCGAAAGGGTATTGCTGGCCCGAACTCCTCTTCTGGAAGCTTCCCTGGAAGCATCCTGTCTACCTGAATGGAAGGAAGTAGGAGGACAGTTAAGGGGTGGGAGGGTGTTGGTGACGTAGATATTGGAGGTGTGGAATTGTGTATTATGATATGGTATGGTATGGTATGGTATGGTATGGTATGGTATGGTATGGTATGGTATGGTTTGGTATGGTATGGTATGGTGGAGTACAATATGGCACGGTTATGGAACGGTTTAGAATGGTGTGGTATGAGCTAGAAGGAACGGTAGAGACTTTACAGTTGAATTTCTGACAAAGAGATTTCAGATTGCTTGAGCATGAAGACAACTGTAGAGACTGTCAATACTGTACATTTTAACACAAGTATAGAGAGACTGTACATTGAGGATATGGTCGAGTGGGCAGAGAAACGGCTGTGGCGTTGCAGTGTTATCGAGGATGCCTTTATGAGGGTACCAGATGCGGTCGAATCGAGCCCACGTGCTTGGCATGACCTGATGGTGGGTGGGGGGGGGGGGGGGGGGGGGCGGGAGCACATGCACGAACACTCATCAAGACCATCAGGTGCTCGTGCTATAAGCAGCTCGGATGCTCTTCAGCTGGTGGTTGACCAGGTGGAAGTGCGTTGAGAGAGTGTGATTGCCCCAGTGCCCCAGACAGACCGTTGACTTGCATTGACCTTGCCATTGACTTGGGTTGACTTGAGTTGACTTGAGTTGACTCACGAGGGTCCGGTTTAAAATGAGGGCGATAGCTAGAGCAGAACGAATGCTCTTCAGCTGGTGGTTGACCAGGTGGAAGTGCGTTGAGAGGGTGTGCTCGCCGCCCGTCAGCAGCTCCTCGGGAATGTCGTTGACGAATGAGACGATGCCACCTGGCGGGTCGTAGTACTCTGGAGGGTCGTAAAAAGCCATGGCCTCTCGGAAGCGATGGCGCTTGCCTGGTGGGGGTGGGGGGGGTAAGGGTTGGGGAGGGTGGAGGGTGGAGGGTGGATAACCTTAGAGCAGGCAGTAATCACTTGCATCTGGTTAGACTGGAAGCTAGAAAGTATAGTTGAACTCCCTTTGCTACTGAAATATACAGCCCCAGCAGCAACATATAGAGTCAACCCCCCACTTGACCATTGTACCTCCAAAATGTAAGTCTCAGTTCACGATGAACATGCTTGCATTGGATTGAATGCATACCTGGAGTGCCAGCAAACTGGAAGGTGGCGTGCAAAGCATACGGTTCAAGACCCAGAGCAAGTAAAGAAAGAGAGTAAAAAACTCCCTAGCTAAGAAAACTCTGATCGCAAGAACTGTATTCACTCAATCAGAACAGGTCGCATACCTGGAGTGCCAGCAAACTGGAAAGTGGCGTGCAGAACATAAGGCTCTAGATCGACCACCTTGTGCAAATGCAAATGTAGCTGTAAAAGATTCAAGTTGAACATGCTTGCATTGAGTATAATGCATACCTGGAGTGCCAGCAAACTGGAAAGTGGCGTGCAGAGCATACGGTTCGAGACCCACCACCTTGTGCAGATGCTGCGGGGAAGATAGCAGATGGAGTACGAGATATGAGGAGGTGAGGGATGAAGGCCGGACAGCAGGGAGAGAGAGAGGGAAAGTGCTGAAAAGCTGAGTACAGTGCGTGCAGAGAGAAAGCATGGAACAAACGAGGAAAAGAGATGAAGGGGAGAATGAAGGGAAAACAGGCAGAATCCCCAGCTTGCGGGGTGCATCGAGCAGGCATCGAACGCCCAGAACAGATGGTCGTCAGCAGCAGCAGGGTGCATGCCTGGCGGCATGTGCTTCCTATGTGCTTCCTCATTCTCTAGTTTGAGAGACAGAGAGACAAGAGACAACGCACCTGAACAAAGAAGGTGTGGCCTGAGCGGAAGACAGACACGGGGAGAATTTGGCAGCAGCAGGGTCAATATCGGGCCCCATGTGCTTGCCTTGGACATGAGCTTGTTGAACCCGTTCTGGTCCCATATCTTGACGCCCGTGGCTTAGGAGTTCCACTCACACACCTGGACGAAGTAAGTGTGGCCTGAGCAGAAGACCGAGACAGGCAGGATTCCCAGCTTCAGACTGCCGTCAAACGCCCAGAACACATGGTCGGCAGCAGCAGGATCCACGTCGGGCCCCATGTGTTTCCGCATGAGCTCGTTGAACCCGTTCTGGTCCCATATCTTGGCGTCGGAAGCAGGAGCAACTAAACCATACAAGTCCTCTCAGATCAAGGCACACGTGGGTGCATTCTCGCACCTGAACAAAGAAGGTGTGGCCTGAACAGAAGACGGAGACTGGCAGAATCCCCAGCTTCAGACTGCCATCAAACGCCCAGAACACATGGTCTCCAGCAGCAGGATCCACGTCGGGCCCCATGTGTTTCCGCATGAGCTCGTTGAACCCGTTCTGGTCCCATATCTTGGCGTCAGTAGCGAGGAGTTCTGCCCATGCTCGAGCTAGTCGCTTGGCCGGGTCGGTGGGGCGGAAGAGCAGAATGCCTATGTTGTACGCGCTCTGTGCTGGGGGGTGGGGAAGGAGGGGATGTGGGAAGGAGAAGGGAGGAGAGAGGGCGCATAGGAGGACAGATGACAAGGAAGAGAAGGTGCTTGGCCAGGTCGGTGGGGCGGAAGTGCAGAATGCCTATGTTGTACGCGCTCTGTGCTGGGGGGGGTGAGTCTCGGGAGAGGAGGGGAGGAGGAGGGAGAATTAGACAGGGTAGGGGAGAGGGATGGGGAGGAGGGAGGGAGCAGACAATGGCACTTGAAACAGCCGTGTTTCTCGCCTCCTCATGAACTCGTTGAACCCGTTCTGGTCCCAACTCTTGGCATCAGATGCGAGGAGCTCTGCCCGGAAGGGAGGGGAGAGGACAGATAGGGGAATAGCAGAAGATGAAGACAGAAAGGCGCTTGGCCGGGTCGGTGGGGCGGAAGTGCAGAATGCCTACGTTGTACGTGCTCTGTGCTGGGGGGTGGGGAAGAGGAAGGGGGAGATGTTGGGAGGGGAAGGGAGGGAGATGACTTATTGGGGGATAGATGAAGAGGAGGCGTTTGGCCGGGTTGGTGGGGCGGAATTCAGAATGCCTATGCAGGAAGGGGAGGCCGTTGGCATGCCTGTTCACACCTCCTCACACCTTTTCACGCCTCCTCACGCCTCCTCACGCCTGCTCACGCCTGATCACGCCCGCTCACACCTGCTCGCCCTTTCTCACCTCGCTGCAATTTCTCCAGAGACTCATCATCAACTGAACGGACTAGGTGGTCGCTGGATGTGAGGAGATTCGCTAGCACGCCTGCTCACACCTCTTAACACCTGTTAACGCCTGCTCATGTCTACTCTACCCTTTCTCACCTCGCTGCCATTTCTCCAGAGACTCATCATCAACTGAACGGACAAGATAGTCACTGGATGTGAGGACGCATGCAGGCACGTCTACTCACACCTTTTCAGACCTCCTCACATTTACTGCCACCTCTTCACGCCTGCTCACTCCTTTTCACTCATACCTTCTCACGCCTACTCACACCTACTCGCCCCTCTCTCACCTTGCTGCCACTTCTCCAGGGACTCATCATCAACTGAGCGGACAAGGTGGTCACTGGATGTGAGGACGTCTGCTGTTGGGTAGCGAGCGATGAAGGGCAGAGGATTCTGCAACGGGAAGGGATTGGGGAGAGACAGAGTGAATGAGATAAGGATGGAATACGGAGGTCAGGAGAGTAAGAATGCAAGGGCTGGTGGGATTAAATGGTCGCTGGATGTGAGGACGTCTGCTGTTGGGTAGCGAGCGATGAAGGGCAGAGGGTTCTGCAATGCAAACGGAGGGGATTGGGGAGAGAGTGAACGAGAAAAGGAAGGAAGAAGGAGGTCAGGTTGAATCCGGAAGGGAAGTCAGCAAGGGCTGGACGCATAAAGTGATTGCAGGATGTGAGGAATCGGCTGAAGGAGAGCGAGCAATGAAGGGTGGACGGTTCTGCAAAGAAAAGAGTGACCTCCTCCCGCCCCATGGCATGGAACACCGGCATGCATGCCCCACCCGACCCCACTCGTTCTTTGGCCTACCACCTGCTGACTGACTGACTGACTGACCGACTGACTGACTGACCGACTGACTGACTGACCGACTGACTGACTGACCGACTGACTGACTGACCGACTGACTGACTGACCGACTGACTGACTGACCGACTGACTGACTGACCGACTGACTGACTGACCGACTGACTGACTGACCGACTGACTGACTGACCGACTGACTGACTGACCGACTGACTGACTGACCGACTGACTGACTGACCGACTGACTGACTGACCGACTGACTGACTGACCGACTGACTGACTGACCGACTGACTGACTGACCGACTGACTGACTGACCGACTGACTGACTGACCGACTGACTGACTGACCGACTGACTGACTGACCGACTGACTGACTGACCGACTGACTGACTGACCGACTGACTGACTGACCGACTGACTGACTGACCGACTGACTGACTGACCGACTGACTGACTGACCGACTGACTGACTGACCGACTGACTGACTGACCGACTGACTGACTGACCGACTGACTGACTGACCGACTGACTGACTGACCGACTGACTGACTGACCGACTGACTGACTGACCGACTGACTGACTGACCGACTGACTGACTGACCGACTGACTGACTGACTGACCGACTGACTGACTGACCGACTGACTGACTGACCGACTGACTGACTGACCGACTGACTGACTGACCGACTGACTGACTGACCGACTGACTGACTGACCGACTGACTGACTGACCGACTGACTGACTGACCGACTGACTGACTGACCGACTGACTGACTGACCGACTGACTGACTGACCGACTGACTGACTGACCGACTGACTGACTGACCGACTGACTGACTGACCGACTGACTGACTGACCGACTGACTGACTGACCGACTGACTGACTGACCGACTGACTGACTGACCGACTGACTGACTGACCGACTGACTGACTGACTGACCGACTGACTGACTGACCGACTGACTGACTGACCGACTGACTGACTGACCGACTGACTGACTGACCGACTGACTGACTGACCGACTGACTGACTGACCGACTGACGACTGACTGACTGACCGACTGACTGACTGACCGACTGACTGACTGACCGACTGACTGACTGACCGACTGACTGACTGACCGACTGACTGACTGACCGACTGACTGACTGACCGACTGACTGACTGACCGACTGACTGACTGACCGACTGACTGACTGACCGACTGACTGACTGACCGACTGACTGACTGACCGACTGACTGACTGACCGACTGACTGACTGACCGACTGACTGACTGACCGACTGACTGACTGACCGACTGACTGACTGACCGACTGACTGACTGACCGACTGACTGACTGACCGACTGACTGACTGACCGACTGACTGACTGACCGACTGACTGACTGACCGACTGACTGACTGACCGACTGACTGACTGACCGACTGACTGACTGACCGACTGACTGACTGACCGACTGACTGACTGACCGACTGACTGACTGACCGACTGACTGACTGACCGACTGACTGACTGACCGACTGACTGACTGACCGACTGACTGACTGACCGACTGACTGACTGACCGACTGACTGACTGACCGACTGACTGACTGACCGACTGACTGACTGACCGACTGACTGACTGACCGACTGACTGACTGACCGACTGACTGACTGACCGACTGACTGACTGACCGACTGACTGACTGACCGACTGACTGACTGACCGACTGACTGACTGACCGACTGACTGACTGACCGACTGACTGACTGACCGACTGACTGACTGACCGACTGACTGACTGACCGACTGACTGACTGACCGACTGACTGACTGACCGACTGACTGACTGACCGACTGACTGACTGACCGACTGACTGACTGACCGACTGACTGACTGACCGACTGACTGACTGACCGACTGACTGACTGACCGACTGACTGACTGACCGACTGACTGACTGACCGACTGACTGACTGACCGACTGACTGACTGACCGACTGACTGACTGACCGACTGACTGACTGACCGACTGACTGACTGACCGACTGACTGACTGACCGACTGACTGACTGACCGACTGACTGACTGACCGACTGACTGACTGACCGACTGACTGACTGACCGACTGACTGACTGACCGACTGACTGACTGACCGACTGACTGACTGACCGACTGACTGACTGACCGACTGACTGACTGACCGACTGACTGACTGACCGACTGACTGACTGACCGACTGACTGACTGACCGACTGACTGACTGACCGACTGACTGACTGACCGACTGACTGACTGACCGACTGACTGACTGACCGACTGACTGACTGACCGACTGACTGACTGACCGACTGACTGACTGACCGACTGACTGACTGACCGACTGACTGACTGACCGACTGACTGACTGACCGACTGACTGACTGACCGACTGACTGACTGACCGACTGACTGACTGACCGACTGACTGACTGACCGACTGACTGACTGACCGACTGACTGACTGACCGACTGACTGACTGACCGACTGACTGACTGACCGACTGACTGACTGACCGACTGACTGACTGACCGACTGACTGACTGACCGACTGACTGACTGACCGACTGACTGACTGACCGACTGACTGACTGACCGACTGACTGACTGACCGACTGACTGACTGACCGACTGACTGACTGACCGACTGACTGACTGACCGACTGACTGACTGACCGACTGACTGACTGACCGACTGACTGACTGACCGACTGACTGACTGACCGACTGACTGACTGACCGACTGACTGACTGACCGACTGACTGACTGACCGACTGACTGACTGACCGACTGACTGACTGACCGACTGACTGACTGACCGACTGACTGACTGACCGACTGACTGACTGACCGACTGACTGACTGACCGACTGACTGACTGACCGACTGACTGACTGACCGACTGACTGACTGACCGACTGACTGACTGACCGACTGACTGACTGACCGACTGACTGACTGACCGACTGACTGACTGACCGACTGACTGACTGACCGACTGACCGACTGACCGACTGACCGACTGACCGACTGACCGACTGACCGACTGACCGACTGACCGACTGACTGACTGACCGACTGACCGACTGACCGACTGACTGACTGACCGACTGACTGACTGACTGACTGACTGACTGACTGACTGACTGACTGACTGACTGACCGACTGACTGACTGACCGACTGACTGACTGACCGACTGACTGACTGACCGACTGACTGACTGACCGACTGACTGACTGACTGACCGACTGACTGACTGACCGACTGACTGACTGACCGACTGACTGACTGACCGACTGACTGACTGACCGACTGACTGACTGACCGACTGACTGACTGACCGACTGACTGACTGACCGACTGACTGACTGACCGACTGACTGACTGACCGACTGACTGACTGACCGACTGACTGACTGACCGACTGACTGACTGACCGACTGACTGACCGACTGACTGACTGACCGACTGACTGACTGACCGACTGACTGACTGACCGACTGACTGACTGACCGACTGACTGACTGACCGACTGACTGACTGACCGACTGACTGACTGACCGACTGACTGACTGACCGACTGACTGACTGACCGACTGACTGACTGACCGACTGACTGACCGACTGACTGACTGACCGACTGACTGACTGACCGACTGACTGACTGACCGACTGACTGACTGACCGACTGACTGACTGACCGACTGACTGACTGACCGACTGACTGACTGACCGACTGACTGACTGACCGACTGACTGACTGACCGACTGACTGACTGACCGACTGACTGACTGACCGACTGACTGACTGACCGACTGACTGACTGACCGACTGACTGACTGACTGACTGACTGACTGACTGACCGACTGACTGACCGACCGACTGACTGACCGACTGACTGACTGACTGACTGACTGACTGACCGACCGACTGACTGACTGACCGACTGACTGACTGACTGACTGACTGACCGACCGACTGACTGACTGACCGACTGACTGACTGACCGACTGACTGACTGACCGACTGACTGACTGACCGACTGACTGACTGACCGACTGACTGACTGACCGACTGACTGACCGACTGACTGACTGACCGACTGACTGACTGACCGACTGACTGACTGACCGACTGACTGACTGACCGACTGACTGACTGACCGACTGACTGACTGACCGACTGACTGACTGACCGACTGACTGACTGACCGACTGACTGACTGACCGACTGACTGACTGACCGACTGACTGACTGACCGACTGACTGACTGACCGACTGACTGACTGACCGACTGACTGACTGACCGACTGACTGACTGACCGACTGACTGACTGACCGACTGACTGACTGACCGACTGACTGACTGACCGACTGACTGACTGACCGACTGACTGACTGACCGACTGACTGACTGACCGACTGACTGACTGACCGACTGACTGACTGACCGACTGACTGACTGACCGACTGACTGACTGACCGACTGACTGACTGACCGACTGACTGACTGACCGACTGACTGACTGACCGACTGACTGACTGACCGACTGACTGACTGACCGACTGACTGACTGACCGACTGACTGACTGACCGACTGACTGACTGACCGACTGACTGACTGACCGACTGACTGACTGACCGACTGACTGACTGACCGACTGACTGACTGACCGACTGACTGACTGACCGACTGACTGACTGACCGACTGACTGACTGACTGACTGACTGACTGACCGACTGACTGACTGACCGACTGACTGACTGACCGACTGACTGACTGACCGACTGACTGACTGACCGACTGACTGACTGACCGACTGACTGACTGACCGACTGACTGACTGACCGACTGACTGACTGACCGACTGACTGACTGACCGACTGACTGACTGACCGACTGACTGACTGACCGACT